AGTTGTGAATGAGCTACAGATGGGCTTCATTCAGTTGAAGCTCTTTTTATCTACAATATTTTGTGTAGGAGAATGTCGTGGGAAGGTTACTGGGGCAGTGAAGTGTGTTAGCTATTCTCAGAGGAAAGTAAATCCTCATTGATCGGAATGCAAAGCCTCCATGGCCAAGTGTGTAATAATAATTTGAGGTAAGAAATTAACTGCAGAAATAAAATTTTTAGAATTTGCAACTCCTTCCCTCGAGAAAAATCCATTTATATTTTATTAGTTACAGTTTCTTTCTAAAAAAGAAAACGCACATCTTAATAAAGCTAGACATCTTTTCAACAAAATTTGGATTTTAATTTTTAAAGTTTTCTATAATTTCCCTAAATCTATGCTGCTCTTTCATACAAAATTCGGAGTCACATATCTCTCTTTGTCAAAAAGAGTTATATACTCCAAAGAAATAGAGGGGTGCCTGGGTGGTTCACTTGGTTGAGCAACTGACTCTTTATTTCAGCTCAGGTCACAATCTCACAATTCCTGGGATGGAGCCCCAAGTTAGGCTCTGTGCTGACAGCATGGAGCCTGCCTGGGATTCTCTCTCCCTCTCTCTCTGCCCCTCCCCTACTCATGCACAGTCTCTCTCAAAATAAATAAATAAACTTTAAGAAAAAAGAAAAAGAAATAGTCAGTATCCTTGTGAGTTGGTAGTAATATTAGCTGAATGCAATTGAAGCCCCTTAGAGCAAATAAAGAAACATCATCTATAGCAGTTCAGGCAAGGCACTTATACCCAGCTCCCCCCTTAAAGTTTAAGACACAATGCTTTAGTAAGCCATTAATACTTTAGTTAAAAATACTTTCGCTCAATAAAACACAGTGTTACGAATGACTGTCTTCATTTGCCACATTATCTTTTCCGGAATAGTTGGAGGCAATACTTTGGAAAAACAAACAGAGCTAGTTCTAAGCAAAATTGTAAAGTAAAACTTCTACTTCCTTTTGTCAAGATCCTCTTTCTTAGATTTTTTTTCAGTACCTTTGCATTCTCCTGCTTTGAACTAATTAAAACCTATTCACTTTAAAATTGGGCGTGCCCATTTTACAATCATTTGCGATCCTCTGAATTAGAATGCTGGCTCATCTACTAGCTAATTGTATTTTGGTTCAATCGCCTGCTCCTGTATAGTGTGAAATTCTTCTCTCATGAAAGAACTCCTTGAAAGACTTAGCGGTCTTCAGGCGCTGCTAAAACCACACAAAATGAACGGTCCACCTGCACACGTGGGCCCAAGGCCTGTCCTATGCAAGAAGGTCAGAGTCTCTCAGTAGATGCTTCAGGTAAGGGGACAGCATCCTTGTTACCAATCTCCTTGTCTCTGAGCCTGAATCAACTAATTGTCACTATGACTAACTTAAAACCCTCAAATGTGTGGGCTTTTCATTATTAGAGATCAGCTCACAGAAAGCTACAAACATGGCCGCTTTCTGTTCTTGTAAGCCTCATCTCCCAACCCACCTACAATCTGCAGATAAGTCTTGCACTTCCTTCCTCCCTCGGGTTCCTTCCGTATTGGGGTCAGAGCACCACAACTTTGCGCTTATAGTGCATCTTTTTCCCAGAAGCTTCTTGGAGGTTTTCAACAAATGAATCCCCATGTCATTATCCTGTAGTGAATGAGGACACTGAGGACCCAAGGGCTTTTTTTAAAGACCAATTGTCTTTCAAGGTTATTTGGAAAATCACTTTTTTTTTTTCCTGTTAGTGTACCTGAGACCTCCTGACAAAGCCTACTGCCATTCAGAATGGTTTTTTAAAAAAGAAAATTACTTTAGTTATGTAACAGTTTTAGTTATTTTAGCAATTTAGCTAATTGATGGCCTTATTCAATTTGCATATTCATTGAATTTTCATGCTGTCTCTCCATCTCTCTCACACACACTCACACACACACACACACACACACACACCAATGTCTGGTGCAGAAGGCAAGCCACAGGCCCAGACTGCAGGTAACTCACAAATAGTTACTTGTCCACTAATAAGCTTCACCCCTAAGATGCCACTGATGGTTTTTTTTCCAAGTTTCAGGGGGAATAAATCACCCTTTCCCAGACTAGGGTTGCCCTACAATTTATCATCCAAATACATGCATGTGAACGGATGTACATGTATCAGTTATTCCGGGACCATAGACTCATTCTTTTTTCTGAGACACGTCTTTACCGTACCTGACCTCCTGCTTGTACCCCCATACACCTACCGCGCTGCTGGATATGCTGGTTCAAGCTCATCTCCCTCCTCCAGGTTGGAAGTCTCTTGGACCTTCGCTCATAACTGCCCTCCCTCCTGCTGATGGTGGTGCATGATGGCAGGTATAATGGCACCCGTGTTGGTGGCCGTGATGACAGGCATGCTTGGGAGACCTGGCTTCCTGTACAAAAAGCATGGCAGCCTGAGCCCCAGGAACTGGGTCAGAACCATCCTCAAGGCCCAGGATCCAAACAATTCCTTCTACAAGACTCGGCCGCAGGCCAGAGGCACAGTCCCTGATGCTCTAGGGCTATCATTTGAAGTACACTACAGTAATAGGAAGAAAATCAACATGTTGTTCAAATCTAAGCACAAAAACTCATAATAAGGTTCCCAAATCGAATGCATACACAGAATTAGGACACCAAAACTTCAGCATGACAGTTTTTACTATGATCCATTTTTCCTCTCTCCTCACCACCCCATGAATCAAACTGGGCTCACATGAACAATAACCTAACTTGCCCCGATTCTAGTTCTTAACCTGCAGAGCAGATAAATGTCTGCCCCTAGTATTTGCGGATATGACTAGCGTGTTTCATATGCGTTCATTAATCGTCCTTTTATGTATTTTCCCCTTTTTGCCCACTTGGGGATGTCCCTGCTGTTACAGTTACAGAGGTCAGTGCTCTGATGTCGCCACTTGTGGCGGGTTCCATGGAACAACCCTACGCCTGTTTTAGGAAAACTGTCAGAACCAGCTGCACTTGGTGCCCTGAGGACTTTGGAGAGCTCAGCCTGGCTCCCACAGGTCAATGTCACTCCATTTCGAAGAGGCATGAGGAGCTCCCTACCTGGTAGGCATTTGAAGAGGTTGCCAGAGACAGTGGCCATTCCTTTTTCTGAGCCCGCCTAGTGAACAGAAAAGCAGGGCTTCTAGGTGTCAGTACGTATGAGAGCTTTTGGCTGAACGAGACTGGAACGAGGGATTTTGTACACGGTTAAGATTTGTGCCCCCCCCCCTCCACCATGCAGTGTGGGACAAAGCAGCAGGGCCAAATGGTGTTTCACAGAGCCTCTGGTATAGCAGCTCCCTGCTTCTAGGAGTTCAGATCGTCTTTCAAGAGCGACCCAGAAGTCAGATATGCGGAGATAAAGATGTCAGCTTGATTACTAACAAAATCTAGGCAGAATCATACAGGCTGATCCACCGTGACAGGTCCTGCTGGTCTGCCACGGGCCCCATTAAATTTGGGGGGCAGATCGCCAACCAAAAGATGGAAGAGGCTGAGTCAACCGTGACCTACTTTTTATCTCAAGTTCAGGCAAATCACTCACGTAGAGAGAAATAGGGTGTGGGGCAAGAAGCTCTCGGCTAATAGACGTTCCTCCACGTAGAAGCTCAGAGGGAAAGGAAAGGAGCCCCCGGGTGCTTGCCTTCCTGAGGACTCCGACGTTGACCCTTGGAATGAAAATAGGAACACGTACTCCTATTTTGCCCAGAAAATGCCCAAATACCTTTCAAGGCCACAAACCACATCTGCTTGAGACCAAAGCCCTTGTTCTCAATCATTACATTATACTACCGTCCTGGAATCCCCCGGACGTTACAAGATTTCAGTACATGGTCACTAAAATCCGAGTCATTATTCTCATTGCCATTATTCTTGCAGTCATAAATAAGTTTGGATTATTAAATGCACTCTTCTGAAGTTGGTCTTAAGTCTATGCAAATGAGAATCACCCAAGAAATTTGCCACATTCTTCCTGGAACATATTTCAAGAGGAAAGTTGACGTGGAAATGTCTTTAGCTCATGTTCTGCACAAAGCAAGAGTCCTAAGAAATCCTCTTTCTTCAGTCATGGGAGTAGGTAGAGTCTGGAATCTGGAAGCTGTAAACGCTGGGGGGCATTTTGGAGAGGTCATAGTAACGGAATCAAATATTCAAGTGAGCTTATTTTATTTTATTTTATTTTTTTAATTTTTTTTCAACGTTTATTTATTTTTGGGACAGAGAGACAGAGCATGAACGGGGGAGGGGCAGAGAGAGAGGGAGACACAGAATCGGAAACAGGCTCCAGGCTCTGAGCCATCAGCCCAGAGCCTGACGCGGGGCTGGAACTCACGGACCGCGAGATCGTGACCTGGCTGAAGTCGGACGCTTAACCGACTGCGCCACCCAGGCGCCCCTCAAGTGAGCTTATTTTAAAAAAATAAACCTATCTTGTATAAAGAAGTCTGCACTTGATATGATTGCTTATTTGTCTGGGCATTTTCATTTTGAAAAGTCGGTAGCAGATTTACAACATATTTTAACAGTGGCCCCAGAATCACAGTAAAGTATGAGGTCAGGGTAACCTGTAATGCTAGAAAAGCTGGTCTTTAAATCTGGTCATCAGCTGTTTCTCTCAGGATGCATTCAGCTGCAGGTTGTTGAGGAGAAAACACATAAAGATAGGAACTTCATTTGTTGTCTTATATAAAAAAAGCAGTAAAAAAAAAAAAAAAAAAAAAAGAAGTGTAGAGATAGGGCCCTTGTAGGTTGAATTAATTCAGTGGCTTAACATTTCCACCAGGGATCCTGATCTTTCTACCTTTCTCTTCTGCCATTTTCACTACGTTGGCTATTCTCCTCAGGCTTGTCACCTCCTGGTCACAATAGGGCTATAATAGCTCCAGCCATCACAGCTTGACACATATCTAAGAATATTAGAAAGAAGCCCCTTTCATGGATCCTTGTTAAGAGTGAGAAAAACTAGTGCTTGCTTCAGCAATGCGTATGCTAAAACTGGAACGATGCAGAGAAGATTAGCATGGACCCTCCAAATTTGTGAAGCATTCTATATGAGAAACAGAGAAAAAGAATGAGAAAATTTTTTCCATGAGGCTCCCAAGACGCTTCTCTCACACCTCATTGGCCAGAACTCTGTGGCCTGACTTTTCATGAACCAACCACTGGAAAGAATAGTGGAACTTACCATGACTGACTAATGTCATTCTCTAGAACTGAGGAGGGGCCCAGCACCCTTGAAGGGTCTTTTGGTTAGTAAGTACATTGATAAAAATGCCAGTTGTTCTATCTGTGTATTACCCAAGCCACACATTTCTGTTTCTGAGAGCTATAGGACTGTGGTTTTGCTCTGTCAATGCCCTCGTGTTAAACAGGGCCGATCAAAACCCTTTATAACTTTAACAGAGTGACCATGATTCTGATTGCTCTAGGCTTTGATGTTTCAATGTCTTCAAAAGTGCCTCTTTACTTCCTGACATGAACCAATGGGCTGGTTTATTACTGTGCTTCATCGAAAAACACATATAGTTTTGGAAAACTCATATTCGACATTCTTTCGCTCACGCATTCAGTCGTCGGTCTTTGATGCCCACTGTGTGCTAAGCACTGCCCGAGGAGCTGGTTATAGACAGGTCCAAAGCCTGTTTCCAGTCTAGTCAGGGAAATTCAGACAGGTACACAACGTGATGGCAGAGAATTTGTGAAGCGTCCACAAGACCTAAGAACACAAGGCTATAATGGCCCTTAGGAGGCAGCGATGAATTCTGGCTTACAGAAAAGAGGCCTCATGGTGAAGCTGATATTAGAGAGGACTCTTGAAGGTGGAGTAGGTGAAGGGGTACTTCAGACCCAGGTAAACCCAGTGCAAAACCATTGAGTCATTGTGTAAAGCGACAGTGAGGGTGTGACAGGTTTGGGAAATGGGGAGGGGTTCCTGACCTGGGGTGGTAAGAGGGAAGCGGTGGGGAATGGTGGGAGATGTGAGTAGATGTTGGAGGGAACTTGAAACTTTCTCAATGGAGGGCTGTCCCTCTTCACTCTGGGAGGTACTGCACCCCAATAATTATTGCATTCATTCAGTAAACATACCTGTCAAACATTTCTTATGGGTCTAGCACCAAAGAAGATGCTATAAATGTCATAGGTCTCAGAAAATTTCACCTAATCGGATAAGTCTTCTGTTCCTTACGCCTTTAATTTATCCCTTTCCTCTGTCTTCTGTTCAACCTACAAGCATTTTACAGCTTTTTTTTTTTTTTTATTAAAACATATCTTTCCCTTCATCTTACTCCTGCTCAAACTAACACTCTGCCCACCTTCGTCCCTTCAACACCAAAGTCCCTGAGGTACTGCTGGTGATGTAGAGCCTTATCTCCCACTAACTTCTCAGCTTCTTACGAGCTTTTCTACCCTCATTTTCTGTCAGACTTACCAACAGTGACCTTTGAATTGCTATTTTCGGCTCTCATCCCACTTGATCTTTCTGTGATTCTCCATACTGTGATTCAACCCTTTTTCACTGAAACGCTCGCATTCTAGAACAGCGTTCTCTTCTCCTTCTCCTATATCTGATATCATTTGCCTCTGATGTTCACAGTCTCCTTCCTCTTGGCCCACTTCTCAAATATTGATGTTCCTTACTCGGTTGTCTTTCACCTTTTTTCACTTCTTGCTCTCCAGTTTCTCCATAGATGATCGTATCTACAATCACAGCCTCAACAAGCGTGGGCTGATGGTTCCCAAGTCTGTCTCCCCAGAGACAACCATACTCCCAGCTTGGGGCCCCCTCTAGCCAACTGTTTCCTAAGTAATAACCCTGGAGCTCTGAATGTGTCTCCCATTTAACAGGTCTAAGATTGAGCCCATCACCTGCCTCACACTTTATCTTCTTTCCTATGTTCAGTCCTCATCAATAGCACAAGGTGGATGAAAAACTCTACTGCATACAAAGGTGAATGGTTTTATCTGTAAAAAAAAAAAATATGGATCAGATTAGATCATAAGATAGCATTAAAATGACAAAGGAAGTCATGTTACAATTCTTTGAATTTAATATTATATTTCATATCCATACTCAAGATATTGGGCTCAAGAGGGTTCTCGCAGGGCTTCTCAAATTTTAGAATGCATACAAATCACCTGGAGGGCTTTGTTAAAGCAGATTCCTGAGTCCCATCCTTGAGATTCTAATTCTTGGGGTCTGGTGTCGAGTGTGAGAATTTGCGTTTCTAATGAACTCCTAGTGATGCTGATCCATGGACTCTGCTCTGAGTAGCACCGCCCCAGAGGACATAAACTTTGACTAGGCACATATTATCCAGCCGAAGACTTGCTCTGAGGGCACTGCTTGCCAAGGTCTTAGTCTTGGTTGAGAAAAACACTGCATTGTAGTGACTAGAGTAGAAGTATCAGTGGAACCCCTGCCTGGATTTGTACCCTCACTTGCCTACTTACCAATTGTGTGACACTGGGAAGTTACCTAACTTCTTCTTCCTTCACTTTCCTTTAGGGTGAGACCAAGATGACCATAATCCATGTTGCCTGGGATTGTTATGAAAATTGAGTTCATTCATGTAAAGTACTTTGCCCAGTAGTGGTAACATAGTAAACTCTCAAAAGATGTTCATTTTTTTTTTTTTTTTTAGTAGTGGTAGTTTGGATGGAGAAGAATGGTAAGAAATTAAGCCAACAGATATGCTAGCTCTGAGTCTCAAGTCTACAAATTATATCACCCTCTACTCTATAGTGAACCCCAGGATATTTCCTTTTGCTTCTTGGTGATTTTAGCATCTGAATCATTGCCACTCTCCCCAACACCAGAATATCTTCATTCTTGGAAATTGCAGTGCTCTCCAACAGGATCCTTCTGACACCAGGCTTCTCAGTTCCAGAAACTCCTCTCTGCCAGTGATCTAATCCTCCACCTTGCCTCAGCTTCTCATTTTCACGGCCTAACCTAGAACTTCATCAGGAATCGCCCTTCCTTCCTAATCTCAGTTTCATGCATCCCACCCTGACCAACACTCACTGTCTCCCCAGTCCACCCCTTTTGCTGCCTTAACTGCCAGTGTTGCAGCTTCTGAGGGCTTTCCTACCCATTGGTCCTGTCACCTTCCATTCTCCCTCATCTTCCTGCAGCAACCTGTCCTCATTTTACTCAGGTGAAGCTCCCCAGTCACTTGTCCTACTTCCCCCCCCCTTTGCATACCCCATCATTCTCCACCCACTCCATGCCACACCCATACAGGTGAACTTGATGGCGGCACAGCCTGTAACCACATCATCAGGCCTTACCTTCATGCCCATGAGCTTACTGTAGCTCTCAGTGTTGCCCAGCAGTCATTCCAGACTGCCTCGTCGGTCTGCCATGCCCTTCTCCCAGAGCACACTCGATGTCAGAGTACTCACTGTAGCTGAGGCTGCTTTTATGTCTTGTGCAGATTCCTCAGGCCCTACCTCTACCGCTGCAGTCCATGCGCCATAATCTGTGTTCTTTGGCCCGAGGGCTTTATCCCACCCATGGAAAGGCTGCCCTACCCAGGTACACCGGCAAGCTGAAATGCTGAGGGATGAGCAGGTTCTGGGCATATCCCCCCCACCTACCACTGTGGCCCAAGCCACCTAGACTACTGCAGTGCTCCCTAGCTGACATCATTCCCCTACTGTCTCCTCTCAGCAGAGCAGCTAGAGGAACGTATTTAAAACGTAGGTCGGAATACATCATTTATGTCCTCAATGTTCTCAAATGGCTCGCCATCCTTTTCAAAGAAAAAGTCTAAGTTGGGAGCCCTCCTAACCACTTCTGGGTTTGTGCTGTCTGATCGGAATAGATTTTTGTTCAAATCCACTCTCAAAATTAGAAGAAAACAAAACAAAACAAAAAGTCTAAGCCATCACGATGACCGGCCGTAGGCCCTGAACTCCCATTGTGCCTCTCTGGTCTTATTTCCTATGCGCGACCTACGCCTTCACTCTGCTCCAGCCACACTGACCTGCACGGTGTTCCTCCAACACACCAGGCATCCAGGCATGCTCCTGCATTAGAGTTTTCACCCTGGCTATTCCCTCTGCTGGAAGTCATCCCCCAGAAATCAGTGAAGTCCTTCACTTTTTTCAAGTTTTGCTCAACCGTCCCCTCAATTAGGCCTACGCTAACCGTCCTGTTTAAAGTTGCAAACTCCCACTAGCCCCTTGACATTCCCCTTCACGGGCATCCTATCCAGCTTTTCCTTCTTCTTCTTTTTTTTAAATGTTTATTTTTGAGAAAGAAAGAGAGAGAGTGGGGGAAGGGCACACAGAGAGGAGAACAGAGGATGCAAAGCAGTCTCTGCTGAGAGCAGAGAGCCCCATGCGGGGCTTGAACTCACGAACAGTGAGATCATGCCTTGAGCCCAAGTCAGACGCTCAAGAAACTGAGCCACCCAGGTGCCCCCCCCCCGACTTTTCCTTCTTATCACAGCACGTATTGCCTTCTACCACACTGTAAAAATTACTTCTTTGTTGTACGGCCCTACCCACCAAAGGGCAAAACCTTTGTTGTGTCTACTGATAAATTCCTAGAGACCACACAGTGCCTGGTAGGTAGTAGGTGTTTAGTAAATATATTTAACAATAATAAAAATCCACAGGTCAGGCTGTAAAGAATCTTGTATGCCCTACCACCACACAATTCAGATTTTTACCCTTTAGACAGTTAGAAGTCATTACAAGCTCTTGCATCAACAAATAACAGGTCAGCTGCATTTGTTGGAGGCCATTGCTGCCGTGTTGTGGAGAATGATGGTAAGGGGCAAACTCACATCGGCGAGTCCCTACTGTGAGTCAGACACTATTGGTAGTACATGCTCACTATAAAATGGTGAGCAAAATGGGCCCAGTCTTCGTGAAGCCTGCATGGGGTGGGGGGATGGCTGGGAAAGAGTGGGGACCATACAGTTTCACAAATATGTGCAGGCATATCTTGAAGATATTGTGGGTCCCTTCCATACGACTGTGATCATGCGAATATCACAATAAAGGGAGTCAATGAATGTTTTGGTTTCCCAGTGCCTCTAAAAGTTATGGTTACAGTATAG